GAGCTGAATTCAAGGACAGGCAGCTGAGCAAGAGGATCTCCAGCTGACATTGCCCCATTTCCTGTGCTCAGCAGGGCCTGGCATTTGCTTTTCTCTGGAGTTGCTCCTTCTGGGTTCCTCAGTTTGCAGTAGCTTCCCAGAAATGCTAGATAAATACCTCTGTTGTTTGCTGAGTAATCAACCCCATAATCAGACAAGGGTCCCCATACACAGTGCTGCCTTGAGACTGGCTCCTTCTGTAGAGATCACACAGCGCCCCCCCCCCCCCGCCCCAGGCACCACCCCAGACAGAAGCCCTTCACAAGGTCCCTTACCAGGGCCTTGCTTGGGGCTCTGAACCACCCCCCACAGGGTAGCTTTGGTGTATACCATGTTGCTCAAGGCTCAGCATCCTCTTTGGAGAGAGTCTGTTCCTCCCAGTAGCCCCACGAAAAGTGTGGTATATGGACTGTTTTCTGTTTGGTACCTTTCTTCCCAAAAAAGCCAGACATGGGTTGCCATTCCAATGTGATAAGGAGTCTCACTAACCTTTGAAGAATGTCCTGGGCTGATGTTAACCTCAATCATGGGGAAGCTGGAGGCATCGGGGCCAGTGTATTACGCTACTTGATGATTTTTTCTTTAGGTTATGTTTTCTTTGTTTATTATAGTTCCCCTCTCTCTATCCCCACCTGTCACCCCATTCCCCTCATCCTCAGGAATCACAAGTGTGTCCTCATGGAAGAGGTCTGTCTTCTGTCTGGTTTATTGCAGGTTTGTTTCCTCACCCTAAGCTTGTGTGTCCTGGGCTCTCTGCCTCCTCCTTAGTGTCCGTGTATGAACTCCTTTGCCCAGCCCCTGTGGGGAGTCCTCTGGTTTAGACATCCACCTGAAGGTAGGGGCTTCACTAATTGACTTCTCAAGACTTCCAATTCAGGGATACTCCAACCTTGTGATCTGGGACTCAGTGATGCCAGAATTCTGTATTTCTAAGATTCTGTAACTCAGATTTCACCATGCTACAATTCTGTGATGCTAAGATTCCATGACTGGATTCAGTCATTGAGAATTTTATGATTTTTGTGTTTCATGAATTTGTTGTTGACATATTAACAACAGCCAGGATTCACCTGGCCTGGGTTTTTGTATTTGTTTTCCAGAGGATGTAAGTCTCCACTCTGGGCTCTCTTCTCTGAATTTGCTGAAGGGCAGAGGAAGGAGATGGCTGGAAGGTGAAGGTAGCATTCCCACCTCCGTGGAGCTTCAGGGGGTGGGATATGCCCAGCGCAGCCCAGTCCTAGGCCCCAGCACTCAGTCCACCCATCTCCCCACAAGCCCCTCATTTCGGCTCCAGTATCTGAGGGTAGCAGGAAATGCAGGCTCCTTTGCAGCTTTCCCACCCAGCTTCCTTTCCTCCGTGGCCTGCCCCAGGGTCCAGGGAAAGAAAGTTTACTGGGAGACTGGCCTGGCCAAATGGGCAGAAGGAAAGGGAGGCATAAGCCAGGGCAGGGAGCCAGAAGAGGAGATGTGGGAGATTCCCCAGGGAGCCCTGCAGCCTTCCCTGAAGGTGAGGAAGGAACAGAGTCCGGAAGTGGGAGTGTGGATGAGGGCACTGGTAAGGGTGGGGTGGCCGGTATTGCACTGTGGGGCTGGAGCTGGGCTTCCGGCCATTGACCCATTGGTGACAAGTGACCTCCAGCCTGGCGCCCTGGGGGCAGTCTGGTCGGGCCCCTACCCATTGACTTTGTTCCTGTACCTGAGTCAGACTCCTAGGAATACCCGGAGGGCAGGAGTTGGTGGTAGGGAACCTGATTCTCCAGGACTCCTTCCCGGGAGGGCCCACTGAGGCCAAGAAAGGGGGCAGGATTTTCCAAGGATCACCCTGGGGTTTAGGGCAGAACAAGGACTGGAACTCAGGGCTCCTACCTCCAGCCCAGAGCTGTTCCCCCTACTCTCCAAAGGGTCCCAGTATTACAAAAGGCTCCCCAACCACACGGTTTGGCCAGACTCTGGGCTAGAGGATGGGCCCGCCCCCAGGCCACCTCCCCCGAGCCGTCTGGACCCCTCCTCCAGCCCCGAAGTGCTTGGCCAAGCTGCCAAACCCGATTTTCCGGTGGCTGCCCAAGGCTGGCTGGAGCTGGAAGCCCTCCTCCGGGCATGGACCCCTCCGGCCACCGTCCTTCTCTCCCTCCCCCCGGTGACCCCACCCCCGGCTCCTCCCACACCTGTGGCACCACCACTTCCTCCACCTGCCTGCCATCTCCCGTGGGCTGCTCCCCAGGCACCGGGAGGTGTAGTCCAGGGCTGCCCCTCTCTGGGCCTCAGTTTTCTCCTCTATAGATGGGGAACAAACGACTGCCTCCCATGGATCAACTGTGGGGAGGTTGCAAAGAAAAGGGGGACATGAATAGCAGCGGGCCACCACTTGGACGGTGGGTTGGTGCAGTGTTGGGAGCACAGCCTAGGGTGTGAGAAGGAAGCACTGCCCTGTGGAATTCTGGAGGTGTGGTTGTTGGGGTGAAAGGTGCAGGGTAAGGGAGTGTGCCCTCTGGATTCCTCAGGTTATTTCTTTGGGAGACAAAGAGACGGAGAACATCATCCCAGACTAAGTGCCCTTGTTACCAGTGTTCAGAGCCCTCACCACAGTTTAGTGTGTGCCTGTGTGATCTGTTTCATGTCTGTCTCCCACCGAGCTGTTAACTCCCACCAGGAAAACTCCGGCTGTTGCTCACTGCTCTGTCTCCAGAACTGGCCACCCTCCCTGGCACATAGCAGACACTGACTGAGACTGAGTTTCAGATTGAAAAGCAGAAGCAGAGGCACCCTAGGGGCTGGAGACAAGCCACGTCAGCTCACCTAACCCAGGCCCCGGCACCCTGCAGCCACACAGCCCGAGCCTCCTCCTCTGGCCTGGGAGCCTGGTGTTTTCAGCCTCCAGGGAGCACTGGCTGGGTGGGAGACAGTGAGTTGTTCCCAGTCATCCAGGGGGTCACCTAGACTAGGGTGGTGGGTGCCCTCTGGCTGCAGCTGACTCTGGGAGCCTGGAGGGGGAGGAGAGGTGGGAACCTGGAAGGGGAGGGGCAGGGGAGGAGCCATCATTGCAGAGAGAGCTAAAAATAGCTGGAAGAGATGATGTCATCGGGTTCCCACAGCTCCGCACCCCCCTCACTCACACACATATGCACATACTCTCACAGACATAGATACACACAGACACAAGTGTAGGCATGCATACACACACACACTTATACAGGGGAGGGAGACTTCTGGGTCCCAGGGCTGCAGGGGCAGGGAAGTCTGGTGAGTGTGTATGCATGGGTGTGTGTGTCTGTGTGTGCCTGGGTTTGCATGAGTGTGATTGCATGTGTCTATCTATATGCTTGTGTGTTCGTGTCTAGGTGCATGCACGTTTGTGTCTGTGTGTGTTCATTTGTAGGCATGTGTATGTGGTGTTACATGCGGGGAGGTCTACGAGCATTAGTGCATGTCTCTGTTTATAGGCATGTACTTGCATGCACGTGTGTTTGTTGCATTGTGCGTCTGTGAGTATACTTATTTACATGTCTGCATGTGTTCATGGACTGTGTCATATGTCCTTATATGTGTGGACGTCCTTGTGGGCCTTGGGCACTAGCCCAGCCGTCTTCCAGCTCTGACTGAGGTTCAGAGCCACCATCCCCCCACCCCACGTCCTGAGGAGCCTCAACCCCTACCCAGCGCTGTCTGGGCACAAAGTGTCAGTGAATTCTCTGCCCTTCCGCTCCTCTCAGGGTCCCAGTCTCTGGCAAGCCTTGGAGGAGACGGACACAGACACAATTCGTTTTCTCCTCACAGGCTTCCTGAACTCCAGGGGGCCAGGCCAAAGGTCTCCAGGTTCACTTCGACCCCCATGCCTCAGGGAAGGGAACCCTGGAGCTAGAGCCAGATCTTGGGACATTGGGATACACACTAACCCAGGCACAAAGTGACTCATCAGAGACAGAGTCCCTCACAATGTTTCCTGCCACTGAGACACAACTCCATGGAGACACACCCCACAGAAACCCAGTTATACCTGATGACACATTGGCACACACTCAGAAATCCAAATGGAAAATCTCCAGGCCAGAGTGCTTAGCACCCTTCCCGTTTCTGGACTCAAACTCAGGCTTGCCCCACCCCCAAATGCCCCAGCTCAGCTGTTAGTCCTGGGAAAACACTGACCTCAGAGAATGGCTGAGGGGCTGAAGGCAGTACGCTCTCCTCAGAAGCAACAGTCTCCTTCTTCAGGCTGTCCCCCCTCCCCCTCCTGACCTTCATTCCTCTTAGCAGAGCCCATTCCTCTCTCTGGCACACTCGTACCCTCACAAACACACCTCGACACACACAGCCGGCCACAGAGGCACCTTCAATTGCAAAGGCACACTCAGCCACACATCTGCTTATACTCCCATTGTTCTGGTCTCACATACACACTCTCAGACATGCACACCAACAGCTACACCTACACACTAACCATCACAGGCACACAGATCCACTCGAGCACTCACAGGGTTACACTCAAGCGTTGATATCCTTCTTTCATCCTATCCCTTTCTTTTTAGTTGCTGTATGTGGGATGCCACCTCAGCATGGCCGGAGAAGCGGTGCGTGGGTGCCCGCCCGGGATCTGAACCCTGGCCGCCAATAGCAGAGCCTGCACACTTAACCGCTAAGCCACGGAACCGGCCTTTCCAATCTGTGCCTCTACCTCTCACCCCAAGGACCTAGCTCCCTGTACCTTCCAAGATGTCAACAGAGACACTTTTCCCAGTGTAGATGGGAGTGCAAGGCAGGAAGGCCCCCTACCTCATAGGGCAGATCAAAAGCTGAGGCCAAAGATGGAGAGATGATGTGTGTTGCTGACCTTGTCCTGTCCTTCCACTGTCTAACTGTGATCCCTGCTGCTGTCACTGAAGCCTGTCCCTGGGAGCATTCACCCCCAATGCTGCCCTCATACCCTGTGTAGTAGGCTGGAAACACCTCGGAGTAGAGTAAGGCAGTTGGAGCAGAAATGATTGTATTTGTCTGCTGTTCACCACCTATGGCCCCCAGGAGATGCAGGTCCGGAGCCAGCCAAGCTTCTGGACTAGCTTCTGGGCATTTCTAGAGGATCAGGAAGCTGCCAGGTTGACAGAGGTGTCTGAGAACTGAGGAGAGGAAGGGGAGGGAAGAGTGTGAGGAAGGCAGCAGTTCCAGAAGCTCCACAGCTCTTAGACTCACCCACTTCCCCAAACCCTCCACTTCCAGCCAATACATTCTCCATTAAAGCTCTCAGCCTTTAGGATGCCTGCCATCAAGACCCCACCATACCTTTCAGATATTTCAGAGGGTGTGTCCCCTGGAGTGCCTACGCAGGGCTAAGTTGGGGAAAACTTCAGTGGCCCTGTTTTTCCAACCTCCCACCCCGGCTCAGCGCCCTCGGCTAACCTTGTGGTGGAAGAATCCACACGCTGGTGGTGGCAGTGTGGGTGTTGTTGATACCCGTGGCCAGGGTGCCAAGATTGGGGGCTGCAGTGGTGGCAGCTGGGCCTTGGGGTTTCTGCCGGTACCTTCTGCGGCTACACTTAAACATCTTGGGAAACCGGGGCCGAGGCCAGCCCATACCTGGCCTGTGATAGGGGGATCTTAAGCCCCGGGGCCGAGGGGCTCGGACACGGTGAGAAGGCCCCATGGGCACAGGGAGCTTCTGTAGTGTAGCTGAGGGGGCTGCTGGCTAGGGCAGCTGAGGCCTCTATGACATATGGAGTCTACATGAGGGTGGTGCTCTTTATGACAGGTCCTGGTCCCCAGCCCCTCCTCCTGGGTCAGGCTCCCTCACTAGTATCTCCATGGGTCCAGCCTAAGAGCCAGAAAACCTCAGCTTGGCCTCTTGGGAAAAAGAACTCTGAGCAGGGGAAACTCACCCCCTCACTTTCTCGCTCATCCACATTAACAATATTAACAACGTTGATGAGCACTTACTACATGCCAGTACTTCACAAACATTATCTCATTTAATCTCACAAAAACCCTACAATGACATTCCATCATTATTCCTATTTCATATACAGTCGGTTCTTGTTGTTTACGGTAGTTATGTTCTAATAAAGTCACCACCATGAACACTGAATAAGCAAATATTGAGCCAATGCTCCTAAGAGAAATACAGGGTTACATTCCTACCAGCCTCTGGTTACAACATTTTCGTCAACTGATTGATCAGTATGTAACCTAGCCTTATGTGTGTTTCTATTTAAAGACACCTAATTTAAAATATACTGTTGAGTCATTAACGTTGAACTCACTGCCAACAGCACTATACCTTGTACCTGAATGAAGTTTATGTGTCACTCATATTTCCTCTGTGAGGCACATCACAGCCTTCTTGTGCTTAGGAACACTAGATAGCACTTCAGCATTACTTTTGGGGGCCATCTTAAACAGCAAAATCACCAACAAAAAGTACAAAAGTGTGAAAAACGTGATACTAAAGAGACCACAAAAAGTGGAAATACACATTTCCATTATAAGAGCTGAAACAAGACGGCAGAGTGTCCCCTTGTTCAACCTCAGCTGAGAACATGTGAGTTGGGCAACTCACATTTTTTGCAGCTCTGCACATGTCCATGAATGACCACAAAAGTGCCATGAGTATTGGTTTGGGGTTACAAATAAATTTTAGTGAGAAGGTAAATTCACAGATATGGAATCTGTGAATAATGAGGATCGACTGTGTAAGGAAACTGAGGCTCAGTTAAGCGAATCACACAATTAGATGTGGCAGGGGTTCAAATCCAAGATGGCCAAGGTCCAAAGTCCAGACATTTAACTCTTGCTATTCTGCACTCATTCATGCATTCAATCTTTCAGGAAATGTTCACTAACAATTTCATATGTGCAGGGCCCTGGGGACATAGATGAATGTGACCAGTCCCAATTCCTCCTGAGATGAAAGAGAAAGCCATGTGGATAATCAGTGCAGGTGGAGGAACAGCTAGGTCCCCAGGGGATGTAAGACGTGCCAACCTTGGGTCGATCTCCTTTCTTGTAGGAGACAGGAACATCAGTGGCTCCGCCAGGCCTTGCACTGAGTTGTTGTGGAATTTTGGACTTGCCCCTTTTCCCTCCACACCTCAGCGCCCTCTCCTTTTCCCACTTATTGCACCTGTAGGCCGCCTTCCAGCCTCCACCTTTTCTCTGTTCTGACAGGAACCCGCTAGGAGACTGTGGAGCCCTCAGCACCACCCTCAAAGGCCTCACACCTCCTCCCCTCCAGGCTCTACTCTTGCCATCCTCAGTCTTAGACAACTGACCTTGCCCCCATCAACTTCTAGCCACTATACCCGTAATTTTTATTTATTTATTTATTTTCCCCCCCAAAGCCCCAGTAGATAGTTGTATGTCATAGCTGCACATCCTTCTAGTTGATGCATGTGGGACGCGGCCTCAGCATGGCCGGAGAAGCGGTGTGTGGGTGCGCGCCCGGGATCCGAACCCGGGCCGCCAGCAGCGGAGCGCACGCACTTAACCTCTAAGCCACCGGGCTGGCCTGCCACTGTACCTATAAACCTACCCACCCTTGGCCATCTTCTTCCTCAAGTCCTAGACAAAGGCCTCCTCCCCTGTTCTTTCTGGAAGCCAGCCCCTCCTGCCTTCTTAGAGATCCCATCAATATAGACAGTCTGCTTGGTGCTTGAGACATAGACTCTGGCACCAGACTGATGGGGGTGAATCCTGGTTCTGCCACTTACCAGCTGTGTGAGCATGGCAAGTACTCAACCTTTCTGTGCCTCTGTTTCCCCATATTTAAAAATGGAATATAAAGAGAATCTATCTCATAGGATTGTTGTGAAGGGGAAAAAAAGGCTTACTACATACGTAATGCACTTAAAACATGATCTGTACAAATATTAGTGTCAGCAGCCCCTTTCCTGTTTCTTTAGCTGCCTCCTCCCATTAAAAAAACAAAACATGAAAAAATCCACTTTGCCCATCCCACACCCCTCTGGCTGTGATTCTCCCCACTCTGACCTCACTCTGTGGTTATTCTCTTATGTCCCAGAGTGGGGAAAAAAATCTCATTTTAAAACCCTATAACTATTCTATTATACAGACCGGGAAACAGAGGCTTAAAATCAAGTCTAAGAAATGCCAACAGGGTCACACAGCTAATAAGCAACAGAACCAGGATTCGAGCACCTGGTCCGAGTGCCTCGAAAGCCAGAACTTTCCCAGCACCTCAACATCAGGAGTGGGAAGTGGGATGGGCAGCCCCAGAAGGATTAATGAAGGTGCGGGGTGGCGGGGTGGCGGGGGGTGACACTTGTGGGACCGTGGTGCCACCTGCTGGCAGAAAGGGAAGAGGCATACACAGAGTGCTAAGAGAAGACTGGAGGGGGAAAGAAACGGTGGGGAGGGAGAAGAGTGAGGCAGAAATAGGAAGGGAGGAGACAGATGGGGAATTTGAGGTTTTATGGAGGGGAAAGCATTAGGAGCTGTTTGCTACTCAGAGGAGGGGCAGAAGCTGCCAAACCTTGGTCATTTCCTTGAAAGTGTTTGTGTGTGTGTGTGTGTGTGTGTGTGTGTGTGTGTGTGTGTGTGTGAGAGAGAGAGAAAGAGAGCGAGCGAGAGAGAGAGACTTTAAGTGCGTACCTCAGATGTTGCTCTGTTGTTTGTTAGTGCTGGGAGTCGGTCCGCAAAGAGTAGAGTGTATGTGTGTGTGAGTGTGCACTCATGAACACTAGTAGATGTTTGTGTATCTGTGTGTGAATACATAGATTGCAGCTTGCGCAGATGTGTGCGTCTGTGAGCACGTAGGGCATGTATGAACGTAGGGTGTGTATGAATGTATCAGCAGACACAGGGTAAGAAACATATGTACACTATTGTGGTAGATGGCACACAAAAGTTCTGGGGGGCCACTTGCCTCACCCCGAGACTTCTCTGCCTTCTTCAGATCAGGAGGGGCGTTGCCTGGGGTTGGCGTTGCCAGGCGGAGGCCTGCTGCTGCTGTGGCTGTGGGGACGGATCTCCAGGCAGCAGGGGGCAGCAGGGGCAAGAAGAGGCCAACCAGCTGCGGGCGGGGCAGCGGGCCGGCAGAAGGAGGCCTTTAAAGCGCCTGCCCCGCCTGCAGGTAAGCAGTGTTGTGTAGAGCCAGCTCTGTCTTCCTGCCTGCCTGCCCAGTGGCAGTTCCCTGGAGCCTCCTCAGATCCCTCTTTCAGAACTCACTACCAAGAGCCCTGAACAGGTGATGGCATAGGATAGAGAGTATCCTAGGAAGTGAAATCAATCTGGAAACAGGTTCGGGGAGCTGGAAGGGCCGTGGGCAGGGTCCTGGAAGAGTCTAAGGTTGGTTTGGGGAAGGGTCCAGGATATACAGGTGTCAGGGAAGGGCATGGAGTGACCTATAGTGGGGGGGGGGGGGTTGGGCTTGGGGTTTCAGTAGAGGAACCAGGGGTCTGAGGATCTCAGAGTGTTAAGTGTTGGTTAGGTGCTGGTAGAGGGCCTGGGTAGCACAGAGGGATAGGGGTATCAGGATGGGATCTAGGAAAAGTCCTGAGGTATCAGAGTCCAGATGCAGGGGAAGCTTGGTGATATATGCGTCCAGGATGCTGGAGTCTGGTATGTCGGGGTCCAAATGCCGGGCCAGCCCAGGTGTGTGTGTGGGGGTGGTGAGGTCCTAACTCACACATGTCTGCCTCCCAGGAGCCACCATGCAGTGCTTCAGCTTCATTAAGACCATGACAATCCTCTTCAATTTGCTCATCTTTGTAAGTATGGGGGTTGTGGGCTCTCTGGGGCTCCCTACAGGAGTGGGTCACAACCTGAGCAGAGCCCAAGCTGGGGAACAGGAGACTGCTATGCCCAGACTCTGTCCTGCAAGTTTCCCCTTATGATGGAGTACAGAAGTCTCCCCAAATGCTGAGTCTTGGTCCCATTAGCAGCCTGGCTGCCACATAAGTTGAAGTGGAAAACCTTAGTGGCATCCCCTCCCTTCCAGGAAGCTTCAGGCCAGGCTTAGGGCAGGGCAGGGTAGGCTAAGAGGAGCAATTCTCCCCTTTTTATAGGCGCTGGGGACGCAGCAAGGGGAAAGGGTTTGCCCAAGGTTACCTAGTATGGAAGAAAATTCAGTGGCCTCTGTGCGATGGGGAGCTGAAAGAAGAGAAGGTCCAGAGACGTTAGAGCAGAGGTTCTGCCCCAAGCAGCCTTTATTCATTCAACAAACATTTATTGCCTAAGATTCTGTGCTGAGTGCTGGGGTGACAGGTGAGCAAGCCCTTTCTCTGTCCTCGAGGATCTCAGGTCCAGCAGGCCATATAGGCAGACAGTTGAACATAGTATGTCTGGCCTTAGCACAGGGACTTAGGGGAGCCTGTAGGAGGGGACTGAACCCCACCTGGTCAGAGAAGACTTCCTGGAGGAAATAGCTGAGGCTAGGAATTTGCCTAGGGTTAGGAGGTTGTAAAACATGCAGAAAGGCCCGGAGGCAATGAAATCAGATATTGTTCAGAAAACCAGGAACAGATTGTATAGAGAATGTTTGAGGAAGCTGAGCAATGAGGCATGAACCCTAGAGATGGTGGTGGAGATGGGGAGAAATGGACAAAGTGCACAAAGCACAAAGCCCTCAGATGGTGGCTGAGGGATGGAAGAAGGGGCAAGGGAGACAGAGGTCTTAGAGCTGATACCCATATCTCTGGCAAGCATCTGGGGGATGACCCAATGGCAGCTGTGTACCCAATAGGGTTG